GCGCGTCGACGCGCCAAAACACAGCTCCAGATTATCACGCGTAGTATTACTATATATACACGACCAATCAAAAACGTGGAACTGCTTCGAGGGCCCTCCGCTAAGGTGACGCGCCGAAACCAGAGAAAAATTGAGACCACCAAAAACAGGCTCATTGGCAATCTCCCTACTCATCTCTGGTACGAGTGCGGCGGGTATGACAAACTTCACGATCTGCATATGATGTTCGCTTTATTGCAGCAGTATCGCATAATATTTTATTTACTTTAACTATAGTATGATTTAATCTAAATCAATCTACTATGATTGAATCTAACTAATTGGCTTCACGATACAGCCTCGAGACACACCCTTCAAGACCAAAAATCGAACTGATCTCTTGGATCCCAAGAGATAATTATATTAAAAATGTAGAACTGAATTCGGAGAGATGCATCGAGTCCGTAGAGTTCACCTGCAATGTCCCGTACTCTATTGGAAACTTCTAGTTCTTCTGACCAAAATTACCAAAATGCAACCACATATTTTATCGGAAAAATTCACCGAGTGATCATAAACCGAAAAAAAGCCTTGTATTAAAAGGAATTACTACAATTTTTTTATCATAAACAGCCGGGAAATACGACAAACATGTAACTAATATTATATTCTCAAATTGCAACAGAGACATTTTTCACTGCAAAATTTTAATTAATTATGCAAAAATAAATTGAAAATTGTCATTATTGGAAGAAAGAATTTTATTTTACAATATTCAAGGTGCTTTGTGTCTTCTACTACGAAGATTTATGAATTCTCCAGATTCCACCACACCTACAAGCACGTGTCCATCTTTGATCCCACGCCCTAATCGCTGCTGTTCTAGGTATATTTTGCAGCTGCGCCTTACCTCCGCATCTATAAGGTTTATATAGTTTATAATAAACCTAATATATAAGTAGTACATTTAAACGATTATTTAAACCAACCTTGTACACTGTTTTACTAGGAGTGGTTGCTTGCCCAAATATAAGTGCCGAATTGTGTCAATTATTTGTCCTGAATGCATGCAACCTTCTACTGGATTTAATTCGGGTACATACATCAATTGCTCAGGTTCCATTCCATATTCTAACTGCAATGGAAAACTTTGGTAAAAGAGAACCGGTGAACTGATGCAAATTATACTGTTAGCTTGATGCAGTTGTGGTATCATTATTTGATTTGGTAGAAGACAACATTCATCTGAAACAATAGAGTTGATTACTATCTACATATGATACAATTAAGTTATAAATAGCAATAATGACACTCACGAAAAGCTGTATTTTGTAACTCATTAAAAGTATAGATTATTCCCTAAGTAATATTTGATTATAATTTAAATTTAATTAAATATTTATGATTTTTAAACAGAACTTGGGTCCTTTATATAAAATTTGTTGCTTCTCTGGAGACGCTACCAAGAATAATAGCGGGTTTCTTTTCACATTTTGCAAACGCCCACTCGCACATATTTATCCCACAATCCGTATTTTCCGATTCTGGTGTCTTAATATTAAGGCTAACTTCCGTCTTCGTATTTACAGGGCTTTCTACGTCCGCAATAAAGTAATGTGATTCCAATTTCGTTTTATTTAATTTAGTATCGTCGTTCCTTACTTGCGCAGAATGCACTTCCAATTTAATTCCGGAATCTTTGGTTTCTGATGAACTCATTGGTGCCATTTCTCTTAAGTTTAATTCAAATTTGTGTACTTGTTTTTCGTCATTTTGCGATTCTCTTTTGAATTGCTCAGTTTTTTCAGCTTCACGCATGAGATCCATGAAGAATATTTCTCTAGGAGTCATTGGAGACTTATGACCTCTTGGAGAATCAGCAAGTTTGTAAATTTCTTCAGAATCCATTGGAGTTAAAGGTGTATCTATTCTCACCAAATGCAAATAATCTATAGTGGAGCGTTTGTTAGCGTCAACCGTTTTGGCATTTTTTAAATCCTCATGGCAATTTATGCCATTTTTTATTATCGCTATATCTGTAGTTTTTGCGGTTTCAACATTGTCCTGTACTTGATGAATAATTAATGGCGATAGTTGTTTACGTTTTTCCCTGAAGGAATCATTAATATCCTTAGACCTTTGTATCGGTTCTATTGAAGTTTTATGCTCTGACTTTAAATTCCCGCAACTAAGTTTTAAGGTTATCTCAGATTCGTTTCTTCCTACGTTCTTCATGGGAAATGATTTAGGTTGAATTGCTTCAAGATTTGTGGAAAAAGATGGACCTTGAGAGTATGCGTTTTTTTCTACTAATTTTTTGGTCGAAGTCGTTCTATATTTATGCTTCAGACATCTCCAAAAAGTAATTAGTACTGTCATTATTATAATCCAGACAAGAAGAGTCATAAGCCAAAATAAATATGGCGAGAATGATTGCCAATTTGTAGAATATAATGCTTTATATAGTGACGACCATAACAGAGGGCATAAAATGATCCAGTAGCTGAGAAAAATGATACACGCCGCTACAGGAAAGAGAATAAATTGAAAAGGCCTTGAAATTACCGGTAGAGTTTCATTTTCAATCTTAATTTCCACATTTTGTTTAATAATTGTCTGATCCCAATTTTTATTTTTAACAGAATCTTTATAGTTCTTTACTGGAAGTTTATTATTCATTTTTATAAATATTATTTACGCGATGATTTGAAATGCTTAAGGGGTAACTTCTTTATAACAAACTTTTTATAATAAAGCCACAATCAAAAAAGCAAATAGTAAAAGAGGCGATTAAGACAAATAACACTATCCTATGATACGTTTAAATAAGAGCACACAAACGGTTCATTTTGCTACGTGTTTAGAATTACAAATAGCACTAAAAACTCAGAAGTTGAATAATTCTTTCAGGAAGTGGTTTCTTTATCACATTTCCTACCGGTTAACAGTGGCGTAACTAATAATTTCACAGTGTGAGGAACTAGTAAACTTGATAACATGTTGGAAATCGTGACAAATATTTTAAATCTTTTTGTATGGTAGTGCGATAAAATAGTCTGATAATCTGTTCATGTAACATATCACTAAACGATATATAAACTGTAAAATATGTAGGTAAAAACTCACCGACTAGACCATCATCTACTTGCTGCTGTATTTCTCCATTGGCTTGAACATGCTTTGATAACAATCGGAATAGCAGAGCCAATACATCGAGATTGTCGGCACTTCTTACGAACACTGGTAAACAAGAAGAACGAAGTAGTCCCCAGATACGAATAATTACCAGCAACTCGCGAACTGTGTTCAGGGCTTTGTGATCTTTCAGCAATTCGTACTACAAAATTAATTTTATCAACTTACTTTATAGATATTTAAGTAATATTTTTAATAGAGATTCAAAATAAAAGAATATTTACACCACCGGACTTCATTTGCAATCGTTGTTCAGGTAACCGCGCTAATAAATTCAATGCCAAGTCTGCTACCCACTGAATCAGTTGCTGCAAGGATTGAAGAGTACTGGGCTCCACAGTGAACTCTTTTCCATCAAGGTGCAATAATACCTATTAATAAATTAGATTTAAAAATTAGTTCATATTATGAGTTATAGATCTAAAATACACAATTTCTTACCTTATCAATGTCCGACACCGTAATGGCATCCGTAATAACAGCGGTTAAGCTCTCTGCAGGTCCTTTGTCGTGAGAAATTAAATCAGAAGGCCTAAGTAGTGACTTAAATGCTGTCGCTACAGAATGTACCATAAGAAGTGATGAAAGATCTGCAGCCTTATTTTGTCCCGTTACCAACATTCTATGATATGCCAATATTTTTTAACTTTTAAGAATATATATTGCGTAGTAATGTAATAATCTGACTCTACATACCTATAGAGAGAAGTCTTGATGCAAAGAAACTGTATATAAAGAAATTGTTGAACTGGTAGTGTTTGTCTATTATAAGATGCATCTAATCTTTCACAAAGCGTTTCAATCATGGAAGATCTCAAACACAGCAGTAAATCCAACCAATCGAGTCCAGTAACCAGACAATATTCTAGTAATGTGCACGCATAGCTCAAGGTCATCGATGAGCCTAGAGCAAATATGGCTATTTTTTTTTAAGCCATGTAGTATTTTATCATCATAGAGTATTGTATTAGAGCAAACATTTATTTGAAATACTCACCTCCTTCTGGTAATAATTTGTAGGTATATAGCGTACTATGTGTATCACAGGCCAACAGTATACAACCGAGCCATGATATATCAATGTGTGAAATGGTAACGGAATTTTTTAAATATTTATTGTTTGGCTCATCCTGTCGCCATGGCATGTTTAATGAAGAATATGCTACTTCTTTTAAACAATCGCGATTTAAATAATGAATAGAAGAATCTGCCAATGCTACCACTACGTAACTGGGTGGTGGTACTGTCGTTACGATTGACAACTTCGTTGTAGCTATGGCAGTAATTGGACATTGACAGCGATACTGAGATTGATGTTGCCATACCTAATTTTTCAAATTGTTAGTTATATTTTCAACTAATTTAACTTTTGCACATATGCAGGTAACTATGAATACTCACGACAGTCTTAAATGGTTCTAAAGTCTTTGGTTGAAAGAGTTTGTGCACTGGTTGAGATTTTTCTCGTAGTTCCCAAACTTCGACAAATCCACCACTTTCACTGTTTGCTGCCACAACGAGAGAATCCGCGTCTTCACGAACTACGAACTTCAAATGCATCACGTTAGTGCCTGTGGACATTATAAATTAATTTAAGTTATTTGAAATGAGGATGATTTGACAGTTCTATGTATTAAATTCTATGAACTTACAGCTGCCATCTTTTGGTGCTCCATCTTGTAGAAAAAAGCTAGGCAATGCTTGTGAAGTTATACTACATTTCTCATCATTCTTTCGGACTAAAACTCGATAACATCTTATGGGAAGACAAATACTTCCACTACTGACAGCCACAAGAAAATGTCCATCTGGAAAAATAGTTTCTTACTAAAAAAATATGTTAAGTAATTTCTCATTAAATAAAAAAATCAATATACTTTTTCCATAGCACAAATCAACTGCAGTAATTCGATGTCTAGTACTTCCTAAACTTTCTGTAGCAAAGCAAACAGGATTTTGGAAATCCCTTGTTATCATGACAGCCCCAACCATTCCTGTAGTTGATACCACCAAAACTCCTTCTGCTGCTCGTCCACCAAATTGCCTTACAGATGGTGCAAATAGAAGATGATTGAATTTCTCATTATAGTGTATGCTATCTTTCTTTTCTGTTACCAGCCCTGTCTAAAGATATAAAGGATTGAATTAGTTATACAAAATTACCTTGTTATAAGCGAGCTGTTAAGTGAATTTCACCATTCCACTTAACTGAGCTTTATAGCATTTCCCACTGTGTGCGTTAGATGCACCTAACTTTGGTGTGGACATCTCGTTATAAGCGAACACGCACGTACTTAAAATCATGTGTTTGCTGCAATTCACTTATAACAAGAAATAGCTCAGGGATAACACCTATACACATTCGATTCCCAAGTTCGCTGCACAATAGTGAGGGAATGCTGTAGTAATAAATTATTCAGAACCCTATTCTTCTAATTACCCCAATATTCGCTTATAACGAGGTAGTAGTATATCATGAAAATGCTTCAATAACCACTGTAAATTGAACAAGGCTGTACCTTTTTGCCATTGTGAAACCAAGCAGCTCCTATAATATGTTCTCCAGAAAAACAGGTAGAACCAATTTGCACCCAATCATTAAGAACATGATCTTTAAATATCCACAATTGTACACTTCCAGCTGAATCCGCAATAACCAATTTGTCACCAGGTAGATCCCATTCTAAGGCAGTGATGTTGTACTTATTGGATAATACCCTAATAAAAAAATAGTATAAACCAATTTAAAAAACTTCTAAGAGGTTACCAGGAAGATTGGTAAAGGGGACCAGCCCTCATATATTCTATGTCTGAAATAAAGTGTATCGACCACCTTGTATCAAACATCTGTCAGATACATCTGGTAAGGCTGACTACTACTGTTTCCTTCGTAGAGTGGTACAATGGATAATACATTATACATACTTATGTGTATGCCATGGCATATTCAGATCACAAACGTATACATGAGAGCCCCAAGTCTTTCCACTGCTGTCATCCAGTTCGGTAGTACTGGTAAAAGCCGCAATATTTCGACTGGACAATGTACATAAGGACCGTACATCGTAGAGACTAGAAAGATACCGACCATAGGATTACATTATTTCATTGTAACAAATAATAATCAAATTACATATATACTTAAGTATAATATCTATTCATTACAGGAATGGAAACAAACCTTTCTTGATTAGCTAGAGCTTTTGAAAGAGTTCTTCTATTAACGGTATAAAGTAAATCCATGATGGATATTTTAGGTTAAAACTTTGATGACAAGATCAGCAATAACAAACAACAGCAACCTTCCTTCCATGAAAACTAGAGTAGAGGAGTCCCATCTCTGTACATAAGGTATGACACCGAAAAGCTGTTAAAATTAAGGTTGCCCGAAACGACACTTGCGGCGCTGACTCCGCTAGTGAAACCGTTGAGTGTAGATAGGTATAGAGGTGCGGAGGACGTGGTGGGGGTATGTCAAGCATATACTATAGTAAAATTTTAGTTCCAATCCCGGCGGGTAGATGACGCCCCGAAAATCCTGTAGAGAGCGAACAGCAGACGGTACTTACCGACCGAACTAGGCCAAGCACTGCCATACTTACCGGCCGTCGCTGGCAGGAAACCGACGGCAGCGCTACGGCTAGCGTAGGGTAGGAGTAGTCTTCCAGAGCGTTCCATGGCGTCCACAGCAAATAGTATACTCTGTACCTGAAACAAAGAAAAGCTTACGTGTGTGAAACTTACCTGAGTGCAATATATTCCTCATGATTAGATGAAATATAAACGACTTGTGTACGCGTCCGCTACAATCCCAGTGTGGCGACCCACGAGGCAGCAGCCAATCCGGACAGAGGACCTTCGTGGCGGTGGCGCCCTCAGCAGTTCGACGAGCGGGAAGCTTCCAGTCGCTTCTAGTCGTCTCGCATCACCCGCATCTAGCACACCAGCATGTCTGCCTTCCTGTACATGTTAACTAATTAATAAATATAGTGTGTGTTTTATATTATCTCCTGCAACATTTACTTACCTGCCTCGCCCGGCCACAAATTGGTGACTCCAACGTGATTTTGGAAGTACCACTGAAGCTGAATTATCTAAAAAAAAATCAGACGTATTAAAGATGGCCGAAGCCGCGCAAAATCCAGAGCTATAACACGCTGCACAACAAAGAGAAGGAGATGCACAACAGGAAATCCTGGCTTGCCGAGCCACTAGGACGCCTCCTTTCAACAAAAATAATGTTAGGGTATGGCTAGCACTCATGGAAATGCAATTTGAGGAGGAACGGATACCAGCGATCGAACCAAGTTTAGGCGCACAGCGCTGGCACTAGACGCTCAAGTGGTCGACAGCACTCATGGAAATGCAATTTGAGGAGGAACGGATACCAGCGATCGAACCAAGTTTAGGCGCACAGCGCTGGCACTAGACGCACAAGTGGTCGAACAAGTCTCAGACCTGATAACCGATCCTCCGGAGAACGACAGGTATTCGACTTTGAAGAACCGACTACTTGCTATTTTTGGTGAATCCGAACGTGTTAGATGGCATAAACTTCAAGCAATAGAATTAGGAGTTCGGAAACCGTCAATGCTTCTGAACGCCATGAGACGACTCGCAGGAGGCCAGCTTGGAAATTATGCTCTGCAGAATATGTTTCTGGATAAAATGCCAGAACACATTAGTATCCTCCTGTCCGCTGAACCAGATATAAAGTTGGATAAACTCGCAGCTCGAGCGGATCACATAATGGATGCTGCAAGACCGCAGGTAGCACACATCTCAACAGAGGCCCCTTTTAAGGAACACATTGAAGCTTTCAACAGAGGACCGCCACGCAAGGGCAGCACACAAAATAACTGGCGACCAGCGCCTTCAAATAAAGGCAAGCGCAATGACCGTTCAGGTTATGTCTGCTTCTATCACCGTAGGTTTGGATACAAAGCCCGCAACTGTGAGGACAAATGCGCTTTCAAACCAAGACAGCCAGTCGCAATAGGATCACTAAGTGATGGTTCTACATCCAATCTCCTCACGATCAGTGACAAGTTCAACCAGTTATGCTTCCTTGTCGACACTGGAGCAGAGATCTCAGTCCTACCAAAAATGTGCTGCAAGGGATTCAGCAAACAAACAAACTGCAAGCTGCATGCTGCTAACGGCACTTCTATCAAGACGTTTGGCACCAAAAGTCTGACCCTTGACCTAGGACTACAGAAACCTTTCCGTTGGGAGTTCTGCGTGGCTGATGTGGAGCAGCCCAGCATCGGGGCGGATTTCTTAAAAAGCCACAACCTGCCAGTAAACCTCAATAACCGACGCCTGAGGAACATGGTCTCACTCCACCAAACAACTGGGAAAGCAACAAAGACAGAATCCAACTGCATGACGAAATAGGAGACAGCACTGCAGTTACGACCTCTGCGCATTGAGGGCTCAGAAGAGACATTTCACGGCGGCATCTCCACAGCTCGGACGAGAACGTGCCTGCCGTGCCAACAAAATATGATGACACCACCTCCAGTAGAACGGAACATGGTCTCACTCCACAGCTCGGACGAGAATACGCCTGCCATGCCAACAAAATTTGATGACACCACCTCCAGTAGAACGACCTGCTCATCCACCTTCTTACCTAAAGAAATATCGCGCCGTCCCAAGGTACGTCGCTGGAGGGGGAGCAGTGTGGCGACCCACGAGGCAGCAGCCAATCCGGACAGAGGACCTTCGTGGCGGTGGCACCCTCAGCAGTTCGACGAGCGGGAAGCTTCCAGTCGCTTCTAGTCGTCTCGCATCACCCGCATCTAGCACACCAGCATGTCCGCCTTCCTGTACATGTTAACTAATTAATAAATATAGTGTGTGTTTTATATTATCTCCTGCAACATTTACTTACCTGCCTCGCCCGGCCACACCAAGCTATCTTGTGGCGCTACCTATGAGTGGGAATTTGTACTAAAAGAGACTGTAGCGCGCACGCGCAAATTGTTTGCAAGAAACAAGCACCATTTGTTCCGAGTGATATTAATAACACAAAAAACATTCTAAATAGAATTAATGATCGAAAAATTGTAGGATTTATCACGTGTATCAAAGATCATATAATAAAAACGAATTTCAGTGTGAAGTGCTTCAACCTCTTCAAAAGTTGTACGGGCTGCACGCTGAAGGTAAAAAAAATCGAACCAAATATCAATTTTTTTCTAATTTTATTTATTACTTTATTATAATAAAGGCATCAACAATGATAATCTACAGGCTTCCACATCGCCCAAGAGGTGCCGTAATCGATACGTTCCCATTATTTAACGTAGCGGGACCCCAGTAAGCCTATATTATGCGGTAGAGCAAATGACTTAACTACTGAAATACAAGTTCCGAAGAAAATATAAAAAGTACATGATGCTGGTCAATAGGCAAGGCATTGAGTTAGGAGGCTAGGGATCTGTGGTTCGAGACTCTTCGTCGGAAGTTTTTTTTTCTTCTTCTGGACGTTATGATTTTTTTTTTAAATACAAGGTATTACAGAGGTTGAAGCGCTTCACGCCGGTCAAATCAGTGCTCAATATTTTTCATCGTTTTTACATAGTTTTATGAATTAATTGATTGCAGTGAAGGGTGATTTGTATTATAACATGTGCCCATAACCCATAAAAACATTCAGAGCGATGAATTTACAATAATATTATCTGACCAATATTACATAATGCATTAAATTTACAAAAACGATGACTAAAATTTAGCACTGATTTAACCGGCGTGAAGTGCTTCAACCTCTTCAAAAGTTGTACGGGCTGCACGCTGAAGGTAAAAAAAATCGAACCAAATATCAATTTTTTTCTAATTTTATTTATTACTTTATTATAATAAAGGCATCAACAATGATAATCTACAGGCTTCCACATCGCCCAAGAGGTGCCGTAATCGATACGTTCCCATTATTTAACGTAGCGGGACCCCAGTAAGCCTATATTACGATCGAAGATAATAACGTCATACAAATGATCCATTTAAATAATTAGCGTACAAGCAAATCACAATAACGTAAAAAAATGGTTCGACTGAAAAATCTAAATAACATGCGCTCTGTAGTAAGAAATAAATTTTGTTCATCGAAAATGAATACTAA